CTAGGGGGAAAATACTTTTATATGATTTACTTTTCTAAAAACGTATAAAATATATAGTCAAACTAGAGAAACTATTTGAAAGTTGTTAGTTTCGGTATATTTCAGCACCATTCACGTACAAAATAATTTGGATGAGGTGGGTTAGATTTTATGCAACTCTGATTAAAACTTAAGTTCTTTTTCAGTGAGGAAACATTTGCAGTAAAGTTTATGGCTATCCATAAACTGTAATATAAATATGGAACTTTATCTTTTACTTTTAAATACAGTGGTGCCAAAAATATTTGGAAGTGCATCAATGTATTACTTAAATCCACAGTCTCTTTTAAAATACGGCTATATTACTTAGTTTCAGTGTAAGTCTAGAGAGTAAAGATCATGTTTTTCTTTAGCAGGAGCGCAGTCTAGAACAATAAGCATGGTAGTGGAAGCCAGGAACTTCTCAGTTCTATTTCCTCCTCTGCTACTTTTATGCAAATCATTTAACCTGCCTGTCTCAGTTTCCCGGACTGTACCACGGGGATGCAGATACTTATTTACCTGCCAAAGGAATAATTGTTTGTACCCTGCTTTGAAAATGTGAAGTGCTTCTATTTGATTATTTCTGCCAAGCATAAGAGTCAAAGAGGGTATCATGATATTAACAATAACTAGCATTTGTAATTTATATAGTTCCATACACGTGCATGGAGTTTTCAAACATGTGAGAAGACAGATCCCTGCCACAAAGATCTTACAGTCTCAGGAGGCAATCCTGAAAATGATTACTCACACAACTGGTCCTTATCCTATTCTGTTTGCTTAGGTTTTATACTGCACCTATCACCCTCATATTTCAGTACCTATGCAAATATGAGTGTACCAGTATAATTTATTTGTATTACAGCAGTAGTAGTGCCTTGAGGCTCTAATAAGGAAGGAGACCCCCCCCACCCTTGTGCTAGGCACCATACAGCCATGAAGCACAAAGACAGTCGCTGCCCTAAGGAGCTTAAAATTTTGGTTTACAACAAAACGGAACAGGTGGACAAATGGGGTGGAGACAGGAGGACAAGGTGTCAGCAAAATGCTTACTGCACAGCAAAGCGGTAGTCACAGTGCATTTATGATCAGATGTCAAGTTTCCTAGGCATAGTGGCAGAAGCAACGTTTAAAGAGGGTTAGGAGTGAGGATAAGGTAGTGACTTTATGGATATTTGGAGCGGGCGGGAATTCCTTTATGCATACAGGTATGACCTGGGAGAAGGCAATGAAAGGAGAAACTGATTGGTGGGTGGTAAAACTTGGGAAGGTTGATGGAGCAAAGGTGGCAGTCTACTTCAGGACAGATTAATAGTCCCATCCACCCTAATGGCCCTAAGTCATGAACGGCCAGAAAGGTAGAAGGAGGGAAGGTTGTATTTGATACAGTGGAGAGTGGGTAGCTGGTGAAGTAATGGAAAGAGAGTTGTTGAAGCAGTCAGAGTGATGAACCAGGAAGATGATCTTACCAGAAGCATTTTGCACAGTCAAGGTTGAAGAGAAGGAGATTGGAATAGACATGTAGAGATTTTGCCTCAGTGGAATTACTCATGTTAGCAAGAACTTGCACAAGCAAAGGTTTGCTGAGTTGGGCCCCAAACAGACAAATACAAATAGAGAAGACAGGGGACTGAGATTGGTATTTATGGGGGGTTTTTGTTTTCTCATCCTCATCTGACTTCTTCTCTTTTTCCTTGTTCTTAGCCCTTTTCTTTATTCCCATTTTTTTTTCATTTCTAATCTTTATCTATTTTCTTTAAAAGCCCTGTTTGCAATAATTAAAAGAAATCTCTTATTTATGACAGGTTTCAGAGTAACAGCCGTGTTAGTCTGTATTCGCAAAAAGAAAAGGAGTACTTGTGGCACCTTAGAGACTAACCAATTTATTTGAGCATGAGCTTTCGTGAGCTACAGCTCACTTCATCGGATGCATCCGATGAAGTGAGCTGTAGCTCACGAAAGCTCATGCTCAAATAAATTGGTTAGTCTCTAAGGTGCCACAAGTACTCCTTTTCTTTTTATTTATGTTTTATAGAAAAATTACACTTTTTCTTAACAGTACAGTATTTTAGTACTTGTTAATTAGGGGTGTAATTAAACTTGAATGGCAGAAGGTTCAGGCGCTCAGGTGTTCTCAAGAATTTTTGTCATCTTGGGCTGCGTCCGAACCAGACACAGAAAATAAGTCCCTTCCAATTTTGGATCTAATTTATACCCCAAACTGTAGAGCTGAGCTCAGAGCCAGAGATTTGGAGCCGACTCTCTCCCATCCACCACTCATATATGGGGCTGAGGTGGTTTCAGACTGGAGGATCCAAGTGAGGTCCGAGTTTTTAACTAAATCCTTAAACTACATGATAGTGTAATTGGAGAGGTTAGGGATCAAATGATGTATTTGTATCCAGTTCACCCCACTTTGTTCATCTTTCCTCAGATAATTCAGTTGTTAATCTAACCCAGGCAGTAAAATTGTTCCATTTCCCTTAATTATTTTATTCTCGTCAACTACAGTTCTTTGGTTGGTGTTTGTTTTTGCAACCATAGTGATGAAATACATTTGTTGGCCACAGTCACAATAATTCTGAACAGTTATCTACTGGTATTGTTTTATTTCAGTAAATTCAGACAGTTGCTTGATTTACACCTTAAAAGTAGGAATTTGGAGGCTATATTCCTAAAATAACTCTTGGATTATTTTTCTAACATCAGACCAGAAGTTTTTCATTTTGGGACATTTACACAAGAACTAAAGATGGCTCCCCACACTATTTCCTCCAGCACTTTGCTGTGAGTTTTGGATCTAGTCTGTCTTGTGAAATATTCTTTTTATAATTGTCTTGTTATTCTCTCCCCGAGGAAAAATTTGATACTATTTAAATCTATTTGCACATTCAACTGCTCTGAATGAAAGACTGATCATTTTCATCTTGAAAGGGCAAACTTTTAGAAAACTTTGTAGGGATCACGTGCTTTACACACACACACACACACACACACTCACAAAGCTCTGCTACTAGTTCCTTTGGTGTCAGATAAACTCCAAGATGTGATTTAACAATCTGATGACAAAACCAAAATGAGTGCGAAAGACATAACTATCAAACACTTACAGAAAAAATTTGACTTATACTTTTTATAGTTTCGTATTGCTGTCTGCTTCTTAAAGCCTTGTTCCTTGCTAGGGCTCAATCCTATGTGAGCAGTCTTCCTCATGCACATAGTCTTGACTCACACAGCCTTACCCTTAAATTTGTTTGATATCGCTCAGAATGTTTTGTGTTATTGATACGTATTCTGCTTTCCATTTTAATAGGACATATCTCAGATCCTTGGCCCCACTACCGCAACACAAAGAGACTAGAAACATGGTGTAAACAGGCAGTTAATGAGTGTCCTAGTGAGGAGGAGTTCCTGAGTGGTATGGAACTGGCTATACTCTCCCCGGTGTAGGTCATGTGGCAGTTAACATACTGGCCCCTGGGGGCCAAAGGCAACTGGTAGAGTTTAGATTAGCCCCGCTCAAGTTCTAAATTATACCAGGGCCTGAGCCAGTGTGGAAGTAAACCCAGGCTCATAATGCTGAAAAGAGCTTTTAGCAAATCTCCCACACCCCACCCTTGTCACCTGCTCTAAGCATTTATTGAAGCAGGATTCAAGGCTTAGTTTGAAGTCAGAAGACAAAAGAGTTCAGCTGCTAGAACTAAATTACGGCACAATCCCGCTCTCAGAAACTGAACACACTAAAACACTTGCCTTTTGTCTCTGGGACTCAGTTTGAGTCCAGTGTGGGAATGGAAATGATTTCTGGAGGTTTCAGCCTGTCCCCTGATTGATGAATTTCCAACTCATTCACTTTCCAGAACAGCATCATGAAGAATGTATTGTCACAACAACTGGAAGGAACGCTTTGCGTGGGGTAGACCTTAACAATACAGCATTGTAGAGCAATTTGTTCCCCTTTCATTAATTAAAATGTACGGGCTATTACATATTAGTCTCTGACTTTCATCATTTACAGGCCTGTTTCACTTCAGTTAGAAGGGATGGCATGGTAATTGCTAATTTATGCAAAAGTTGGGATTACTGTAAGAACAGGCCATGTCCTTCAGGATGGGTGTTGCTACTGAGTATTATTGTTTAAAAATAAAAATAGTTTCTAAACAAAATGGTGTGGGAGGATAAAGATTCAGTTCAAGTTGGGCAGTGGCCAGTTCGGGTTTATGGAGTAATTGCTAATTGTGAAAAGCTCTGCCCAATGGTCTGTTTACCAAGGATGTTTTGCCCATTTTAGCTGAGGTGGGGCTCACTTCCTTAACAGACACAGAACAGAGCTGCAGTCTGCTCTGTATCCTGCTCCAACAGAGCATGCTCAGATCTTGAGGCATTCAAAAAAAGTAAAAGTAAACCCCCTGCTTCTCTGTTGCATAGCAGGCGTAGATTAAAGAATCAGGATGCTGTTCATCTTCAGTGTTTACCTGCTCTTACACGTACGTTTTAGTAACATTCTTGGTCAAGGATAATTCACCATAGTTAATTAATTATACAGTTAATCCTTCCTGTTGTACTTATTTATATATGCAGCATTCTGTGTATTGTATTTTGATCATTAATGTGGGTGAGCACAGACAGCAATTGAGTAAACTGTCTCAGCCTTTGTTTGATAATTCCTGTTCGCAATTAACAGCTAAATAATGTATGAGGTACATTAATGTTAGCAAAACGCAGTCCTGACTACAGTCAGATGAATAACAAAACATTATTTCAGGCAAAATCACAATTCAATGTAATAGCGTAAAATAAAATAACTGATAAAAAAATCACTCTTCTTATTTAGATATGTATAACGGTGCCCCTTATCTAGGTCCCTTGGTGGTCTGTCCAATCAGCTGAAAAGGAGCAGAACATAAAAGCATGTACTGGCTTGTTAATAAGCCTTCCCTCTTCCCTTATTAAAATTAACCCAAAGTTTTATTCAGTACCTTAAGTTCCTCAAACGTGGACTCTGAAGATCATCACAGAAAGGTTCAATCCTTGGACCAACAGCAAGAATAGACCAGGCGATGTTAAATCTTGTGCCGGAAATATTTGTAAGGATGGTCCGTGAGCTGCACCATCTACACGAATAAGAGCTGAGGGTCACATCATATTAGCGCAGTAATTCTTTCCCTGATGTGAAATATTCTTATAACCCCACATTCAACAAGGGCACTCCGAACTAGGGCTACCATTGCACCCCATTATGGCTGCAGGAATTGCAGAAGTTGGAGATCACTGTATGATTCTATGTGTCACATGTGCTCTCATACCTAACAACAGTGGAATGCGTTAAGGCTGTAGTGGCAGCTCTAACTCTGAATGTTTTTGCCTTTGCCAATGTAGATCGAAAACAGTGGTCCCCAAACTGTGGGGCACGCTTCCCTAATGGGGGTGCAAAGGAACACCCAGGTGGTCCAGGGGGGCCGGGTCAGCCCTCCTGAAAGGGTGGGAAGATAACACCACCCAGCCCCGCTCGGCCCCCCAGCTCCACTCCAGCCCAGCCCCTGGCTGCGTCCCCAGCTTAGCCCCCAGGCCTAGCTGCGTCCCTGCTCCCAGCCATGGCTCAGCTGCCAGCCACCACTCTCGGCTCCCGGCCCACACTCCCAGCTGCAGCTCTGCTCCTGGTCCTGGCTCCACTCCCAGCTTGGGGAAGGGGTGGAGTGTGGACCCATTATATTACTGGAAGGGGTGGGGGGTGAGAGGAAAAGTTTGGGGACCACTGATCTAAAATGTGGCAATGGCTTTTGGTCACATTTGCATTTGATCTCCAGGGACTTAATGGGAGTACGATCTAAACCTCCCGCACTTTTCAAAAATTAAGCATTAAAGGAATCAATTTCCCACTTTCTAACATGACACGGTGCTTGAGATGCCAATGGCTCTTTACACTAAGTGATTCTTTATACTGTATGCTGAGCACACAAGTCACATCATTCCCTTCTACAGAAAAATGCTCCAAAAGGAAAAAGTTTCAACAAAATATCAGCATGTTCAATGCAGCAGCAAGTATGACACATTTTCTCACTCAGGAAGGAGGATTAAAGGTGGCAAGGAAGGGAAGGAGTCATGGCCTTGTAACAGTTCAGAACCCCAAGATCTGTGAAGGACTCTGCATACCTATCCCTCTGCACGTTGTCCTGGGCCCCCTTATTCCACCCATCTGCTTTAAGATTCCTGCTGTGGTTACGTCCAACAATGAGGCTGTGGTTGGACAGGAAAGGGAGCTGTAGTGCAAAAGTTAATGCTGCTTAAAGCAGCATTATATTTCCCTGGGTTTACAGGCACTACAATCTGCATCAGTTCTCCCGTGCCGGGGAGCGGATAATGTTGAGATAAATGGAACATGCCAGCTGTGTTAAATTTAAATGAAGCGAGAAAGAAAAGACTTCTGGAAAAATGAGTTTTGCTGATTTTAGAAGATTCCTTTGTTGATGTTCACTGTCTTCAACACACCCATGGCTAGGGATCTTTACTTTATTAGAGGGTTGCATATGTTGGGTGTGTCTACATTGCAGCTGGAAGCGTCGCCTCCAGCCCAGGAAGAGAGACTCATGCTAGTTCTACTTGAATTAGCATGCTAAAAATAGCAATGTGGACATTGTGGCATGGGCAGTGATTTGGGCTAGCCACCCTGAGCTCACACCCAGGGGATAAGACATGAGCAGCTAGCCCAAGCAGCCATGCATGCTGCAACATCCGCATCTACTTGGGCTATGAAGGATGCTCCCAGCTGCAATGCAGACATACTCTTAGTTGCTACTATAGACCAAACTCATTGCACACACGAAGGCCTCCTGCCATTTCCCCTACAATCTCCTGGTGTGCCACCTCCCAGTTCTCTCTATTTCAGAGAGTCCCTACACACCACTCCACCTTCTCCCTGATGCCAGGGGTTCTGTGTCCCCCGCAACCTCATTCTCTCCTGCCACATGCCAGGAACCTGATGCCCAAAACATTCCATAAGAATGGCTGCACTGGACAGACCAATGGTCCATATAGTCTTATGGGACTGGCCACTGTCAGACACAGATGTTTCTGGCAGTTGGAGGCTTAGGGATACCCAGAGCATGTGGTTGCATCCCTGACCATCTTGGCTAATAGCCATAGATGGACCTCTTCTCCATGAATTCATCTAATTCTTTTTTGAACCCACTTATACTTTTGGCCTTCACAACATCCCACGGAAAAAAAGTTCCACAGTTGACTGTGTGTTGTGTAAAGAAATACTTCCTATTGTTTGTTTTAAACCTGCTGCCTGTTAATTTTAACAGGTGACCCCTGGTTCTTGTGTTACATGAAGGGGTAAATAACATCTCCCTATTCACTTTCTCCATGATTATATAGACCTCGATCATATCCCCTCCTAGTCCTCTCTTTTCTAAGGTGGACAGGCCCAGTCTTTTTAATCTCTCCTCATATGGAAGCTGTTCCATAGCCCTAATCATTTTTGTTGCCTTTCTCTGTACTTTTTCCAATTCTTTTTTTTTTTTTTTAGATGAAATCCCTAACATTTTTGAATTGATCAGATGCAGCATTCAAAAGCCATCACGTTGCATACAGATAAATAGAAACGTCATCAAGTAAGGCCTTTGGTAGCTTGGCCAACTATCCAAAAAATAATGTTTGTAAATGTACCTTAAACTATGTAAACAAGGAGCATAAATATGGAAATAGAAATAAAATTACCCATAAAACAGAGAACTGAGGGAGCAAATTCACCTTTTGAGCACCTCTTTGCAGCTGAGTGCAGTACTGCAGTCCTTTTCCTGCTCCTGGCGCCCCCTGCGGTTCTCAGCTAATCTTGGTGGGGTCTTCAATGATTTAACCCTCAGCCCAGGTCACAAAGTCCAAATGAACCCCTTCTGGGATAATATAAGCCCAACAAAACTATCTGCCCTCACCAGGGTCTTCAGCCCCAGCTTTGGGCCCTTTAAATTCAGCCTTTTGCTCAGGCATTCAAGTGAGTCTGGTCCCCTTTTCAGGGTTTACATCACTTCACCAGTGGCTAGCGGGTAAAGTCAGCCCGCCCACCCACTCCTCTGGGTTCCAAACCAGGGATCCTATAAACAGAAGCCACATAGTGCTCACTTCAATTTGTTGCTGCTTCGTACCTGGGCCTTTTCTCACTTGGCCCCTTTATCTTCACCCCTTACCTCAGGGTTAAAGCTCTCAGGTCCGGTCTGTCCCAGCTTACGCAGATGCAGCAGAACCGAACTCAAGCTTCTCTGGCCAAAGAGTAGCATTGCACCACACCGCACCCTACCCCATCCCATGGTCCCAGCCAGGAACTGACCTGCTAAAGCCCTGCAGTTCCTTTTACCTGGGCCCTGGGAGCCCTCTCCAGGCAGGCCTGGAGGACCCACCTTTGCTGCTCCTTTTCTGGGGCAGGGTGTAGTAAGACTGTAGGGCCTCCTGCAGGGAGCAGCAAAGTCCAGGTACACCCCATCACACCATGAAAATACAGAATAAGTCAACAGAGTTACTAAAAGAGCTTTACTATACAATGAAACCTTTGTTATAACCTTAAACTTTTCTAATATCACTTTTGGTGCCCATGAATTATACAGAATTACACAGTGCACTATCCTAGTACACAAGAATAACTGCCATGTTCCTAAAGCTTATAACATATAAAGTTACATTCCATAATTACACTAAATAATAGGTTTCAGAGTAGCAGCCGTGTTAGTCTGTATTCGCAAAAAGAAAAGGAGTACTTGTGGCACCTTAGAGACTAACAAATTTATTTGAGCATAAGCTTTCGTGAGCTACAGCACTTCAGCTGTAGCTCATGAAAGCTTATGCTCAAATAAATTTGTTAGTCTAAGGTGCCACAAGTACTCCTTTTCTTTTTACTAAATAATACTTTCACATGAGTATTAATTTTAATGAAAACCAGTGATGTAACAGTATTTTGCTTTATTCAGACTTCACAGACCACTGGAATAAAAGGATTAAGTATTACAAATCCTGGTGGTACTCAACATTAACAAGCAACTTATAATAATTTATTCCACATGTCTGATACCAATGAAAAACGCTGGAGAACACAAAGCTAGTTGATGTCTCCAGGAAGTGAACTGCTCACTCTGTTCTAATATTAGAAGCAGACTACAGCAATGCAGCAAGAATCATTCCTTCCATACCCCCAAACGTTTTGAGCCTTTGTCCACACAAGTACAAAACAAATGTGAGTCACTGTCAGTGATTGGGTTAAAATGTCTGTCACAAGAATACTGAATGACCTAAGAATGCCGAGAACTGAAACAGCAGTTTTTAAAATAAATTGTTTCTACTTTCATAGTCTAATTTAAAATATTAAAAATATTTTCCTGCCTTGATTAAGTTGTTCATTTCTTCTTCTCTATATATACACACAACATATGTTCCCCATGTCTTTTGTTTGTTTTTTAAGCTAGGTAGACATTCAGGTTAGACAGAAACAAGCAGGGTTCAGACAACCGAGACCATGTCCAGACCATAATGCTCTCAGACATATTAGAACAAAGTGTGGAGTGGAAAACACCTCTTGCAATAAATTCTATAGATTTCCAGAAGGCCTTTGACAGCATACATAGAGAGTGTTTGGAAAATTATGGCATACTACAGAATGCCAGCAAAAATAATAGAATAATCAAGGATTTATAGCAGTATGACCCAAAGTGTGGTATGCGTACCCCTGGTGGTACGTGAAAGGGTTTCAAAGGGTACGCGGCAGAATTTTTTATTTTACTTTATCATAGTTTTTTTTTTTTAGCAGCAGAAAATAATTCACTAAAATTTAATATATAAGAATAGTGTGCACTTGTACAGTAGAAATACACACAGGTTTACATTGTAAACTAATATGATGACGTGTTCAGTAACATCTAATAGCACAGCAGAGCTGACGCAAACCACATGTGCGTGTTACCACCACTCGGGCAATACACTTGCCTTTGTGGCATGCGCAGAAGTCATACTGACAAATAAAAGTGAATAAACTACTTGTAGTAATCTAAAGATCATAGCAAGTACATACAAAATTTATACAAAATTTCTCTTTGTTAAACCCATTTACAATGGATCGCTGGCTAAA